GCCAATTCTTATTTTTATTTCTGTTTTTTGATATGTCTAGTGATGTCTTATTGAATGCACAACATTGCTTATGAAAAATTATAGATGTTCAGGATATCTTTTTCCAGAGGAAATTTATCTTATCCTTTAACAACCAGCTATCATATCGTATATATATATATAGACACACAAAGTGGCCAGATTATTATGATCTCTGAAAAAAAAATATATATGTATATTTATATATATATATATTTAGAAGCCTCGTGAATGAATTCATGCATAGGTGGGGTCAGGCCAGGGAAAGGGGACATGGGCAGTTGGCCGGCCTGCCAGCTGGTCAAACTCCTGGTGGAGGGGACAATTTGTATATTAGCCTTTTATTATATAGGATATACATTGAGTGGCCAGATTATTATTATGCATTCAGAGATCATAATAATCTGGCCACTTAGTGTGTGTATATATATATATATATATATATATGTGTGTGTGTGTGTGTGTGTGTGTATATGTGTGTGTGTGTGTGTGTGTGTGTGTGTGTGTACATATGGAGTCCATGTTGTCTAATGTGCCTTTTAAGGCCAATGTTTCCTTATTGATTTTCTGTCTGGAGGATATATCCATTCATGCAAGTGGTATATTAAAGTCCCCTACTATGATTGTATTGCTGTCTATTTCTCCATTTTGCTCTATTAATATTTGTTTCATATATTTAGCTGCTCCTATATTGGATACATAAATATTTGCAAATGTTATATTCTCTTGTTGGATTGATCTTTTACCATTATCTAATGATACACAATCTTGGTCTCTTATTTCAGTCTTGGTTTTAAAGTTCATCTTGTCTGATATAACCATAGCTACCCCAGCTTTCTGTGGGGTTCCGTCTGCGTGGACGATTTTTTCCCAAACCTTATTCATCTGAATGTGTCCTTGCATCTGAAGTGAGCTTCTTGTAGGCAGCTTATGGGATAGGTCTTATTTTTTTATTGCTTTCTTTAAATCCATTTAGCCACTTTGTCTTTTTATTAGATAATTTAGTATATTTATATTTAAAGTAATTATTGATAGATATATACTTATTGCCATTTTGTTCATTATTTTCTGTCTGTCTGGTAGTTCTTCTGGTCCTTATTACCTTGCTCTCTTCCTTTGTGGCTTGATGACTTTTAGTGGTATGCTTAGATTCCTTTGTTATCTTTTGTGTATGTACTATTGTTTTTGCTTTGTGGTTAGTATGAGGCTTACACACAACAATTTATATTTTTCAGATAAATTATTCATCTATATCTTGTTTTATTTTCTGAAGTTTTATCTTGTTCTTTTGCTTCTTCATTTTCGTGACTCTGTATTTTAAGTTGGTCACAGCTTAAGTCTGAATGCATCATAAAGCTCTACATTGTTATCCTCCTCCCCACATTTCATGTTATTATCACATTTTACATATTTTTATCTGGTGTATGCCTTAACTAATTATTGTAGTTATTTTTGCAACATCTCTCGCTTAACCTTCATACTAGCTTTGCTTTTAAGTAATTAATAACTAACTTTACTATATGTTTACCATTAGCAATGGATTTATACTTTCACATGTTTTCTTGTTATTAATTAGCATCCCTTCCTTCAGCTTATGCAAGTCTCTTTAACCGTTTTTGTAATTGTGTCTTAGTAGTGATGAACTCCTTTAGCTTTTACTTGTCTGGAAAACTTTAAAAAAAAATCTTTATCATTTTCTTAGTTATAAATAACTTTGCCAGGTAGGGTATTCTTGGTTGGAATGTTTTCTTTTAGCATTGTTAAGATATTATGCCACTCCCTTCTGGCCTGGAAAATTTCTGCTGAAAAATCCCATAGTTTCATGGGGGTTCCCTTGTACATTAGTTTTTTTTTCTTTTTACGGTTGAGCTTTTATCAATGTCTTGAACCTTTTAAGTGTAACATACCTGGTCTGTGTCTTTTTGGGTACCTCTTATTTGGAACTCTGGCTTTCCTAGGTCTGTATGCCCATTTCCTTCCCCAGGTCAGGGAAGTTTTTTCAGTTAGTACTTTGTTCAAATAAGTTTTCCGCCTCTTCCTCTCTCATCTTCTGGAACTCCGGTAATGTGAGTGCTAGTCCTCTTGATGTTGTCCTTTAAGGTATCATAGCTTTTTTTCATTCTATTTCTTTTGGCTGCACTGATTGGGTGAGTTCCACTGCCCTGTCTCTGAGCTGACAGACCCGATTGCCTCATCTAGTCTGTTGTTGAACCCTTTGGTGTATTTTTCCGACAGTCATTGTCTTCATCCCTTCTGTAATTTCTCATTGGTACTTTCCATTCTCTGTCTCTTTGTTGAAATTCTAACTGTATTCATCAATTCTACTACCTAGTTCAGTAAGTCATTTTATGACCATTACTTTGAACTCTTTACCAGGTTAATGATTTATCTTCATCTCACTAAGGTTTTATTTTCTGAAGTTTTACCTTCTTTTGTTTATTTCTTGACTCTCTGTGCTAATTTATAAAGATTAGATCAGAAAGCCCCTCTTCCAGTCTCGAATAGTTGGCCTTGTGTAAGAGATGAACCTCATCATTCAAACCTGCCCTGTCTCTTGTCTTTCACACCTTGTGACTGCCCAAGCCACCTATTTTTAAAGGCTCCCAGTGGTTTAGGTGTGCCACTACCAGCCAGCATCCCAAAGAGGAGCTCAGCACCTAGGTTCAGACGAATTGGGAGCCAGACTCTCAAGTGGCTTTGAAAATGCACAGCCCTGTGGGGCCACAGTGTTAAGCCCCAGTAGCCACCAGAGCCAAGAAACCTGGAGGTACCCGCTGGTGGCAGCTGCAAAATTCGAGGCTCCCCTCATGCATTATATAACTAACCTACCTTGTCACCGATGCTGAGCCCTGCAGAGTTAGGCTTAAAAATAAATCCTCAGCCATGTCACTAAGTTAAGATGTAAATTATAGAACAGCATATAGAGGTGATGCTGTTAACAAACGCATGTGTGTGCACACACACTATTTCTCCACGGGCGTCTATGTAAATGCACAGGAACAGGCCTGGAAGGAAGCATCCGAAACTGATGGGAGTGCTTCCCTCTGAGGAGAACCTGGATTGGAAGTGGCGGTCACCTTATCTGAATGCCTGAATGTTTTTCACGGTGGAAAATAAAGTCAATAAATACTTTTGAATTTTTAATATTTACTTAAAGGAAAAAGCTTTCTTAAGTTGAACTGACAAATAATAGTGATTTCAATAGTTAAGAATAAAAAGATAGTGAGCAAAACGTAATTCCCTACCATGGGCAATGGATAGAAAATGTAGAGATTATATAGCAGGTTCCATAGAAGCCTCTTCCCTTCCCCAGCCCCCACACGTATCCTTTGTCCCCGGGCATTATCTCACCAGAGCAGGTACTTCCAGGCTTTTCTAATGGTGTTAGAACACCAATCCTTACAGGTGCATAAAGAAAAATATGACGAAACTATGTTTTAATATAAAATCAAGGGCACCTCTTTACCTCCTTCTTGGAAGTTTTGGGCAGTTGGTCTTGACCGTTTCTCCTGCACCTAACACAGCCATTCTCAAGGGGGAAGGGGAGCCTCAAACCAAAGCAAGGCCTGCAAACACACACCTATGGGGAGTCAGGAGCTCCCTGCCACTGCCAGAATGTATCCGCTGCTGTGCAGGGCAGCAACGAGGCAAAGCCGTTCCCTTCCAGGACCAACTTTAGCATTACCAGTTAGCTGGCCAGAAAGAATCATTCTGTCAATTATGTCTCAATAAAAAACATAATCTGTCAATTATGTCTCAATAAAAAACAATGATACTAACGAGCCACACAAACCCCAAAAGCTATCTTCAGAGTAAAGCCCCCACCCAAAGAAAACAAAACCACTCTGGTTTATTGGCTCTCTGCTTTGCTATACAGTAATATAGACTTGATGGCATAGAGGCAGAATGCCAGGTTCAAATACATTTTAGTAGTATGACTTTGGGCCAGTTAGCTAAGGTACCCCATCTGTAAAATGGGGATGACCATGAGGGCCTCTTCAAACCCTAGTAATGAAGGATCTAGGACAGTGGTCAGCAAACTGGCTCGTGAGCCACATGCGGCTCTTTGGACCCTTTAGTGTGGCTCTTCCACAAAATACCCCAGTCTGGGCAAGTCTATTTTGAAGTGGCGTTAGAAGAAGTTTAAAAAATTTGGCTCTCAAAAGAAATTTCTATCATTTACTGTTGATATTTGGCTCTGTTGACTAATGAGTTTGCCGATCACTGATCTCTAGGACACCACAGCTCTCAAGAGTGCCTGGTGTGCAGGAAAGCACTTACATAAGCTCTGCTGTTAGCATCAGAATCGATAGGATGGTCCAAGACACCCTACTCTGAATGCTATGCTGCAATGTGGATATGACACCTGTCCTTCTCAGATGTGCCCACACGGGAGTGTTAAGTGCTAGCTGTGAGATGCTCACCGGCCAAATGGCCATGTGTTCTAAGGGCAAGTCTCTTCCCTGAGAACAAGGCTGTTTTGCACACAGGGCCCCTTCACTAGGGATCTGACCTATTCCCATGGGGACCTGGTCTTGATTGAGAACATTCCATGACTTAATAAACACACAGTAGAGAGCCATCTCTCGGTGTCGCTGATACAGTGATAATAACAGAAGTGAGATCTAGACAAATAGCTGGTGGCCCTCTAGCATGAAACAGTTTGAACAGCAACAAGGTAAAACGCTCTGTATCTAGTACACGGTGTGAATTCAGACTTTTAAAAACAGTGGACTTTGGTTTGACAGCTCTTTATTCAGTGGCACTGCACCTCAGATCGCTTTTGGAACCATTCTGTCCAAAGAGGTGCAAGGGGACTGCCTTCTTCCCGGTGCACCTCCTGTATTAGGGAGGTCTCAGCAACACAACCCAAAGCACCCCCTGCCCCACCCAGGCTCTGGGCAGGTAGGGGGCGGAAGGACACACGGGGAACGGGGTGTTGTGCAGCACAGGTTAACCCCGCTCCTTTGGGCCTGTTGCAGGGATCATGTACCGCAAGTCGTGTGCCTCCTCCGCAGCCTGCCTCATCGCCTCGGCCGGGTACCAGTCCTTCTGCTCTCCCGGGAAACTGAACTCCGTGTGCATCAGCTGCTGTAACACCCCCCTGTGCAACGGGCCGCGGCCCAAGAAGAGAAGCAGCTCGGCCTCCTCCCTCCGGCCAGGGCTGCCCGCCACCCTCCTGCTCCTCACAGCCGGCCTCCTCCTGGCGCACTGCTGAGGGAGATGCCTGCCCGCCTGCATCCTCCTTGGCTCCAGCTCGCCCCCCCGGTCCATGAGCTCTCCGGGCATGCTTTGATTCTGGGTAGGGAGCCTACGTTCTTGTTCTTTTCGTCCCCTTGCAACTAACGCAAGAGCTCCGTGTGAAACATTCTTGTAAGCTCTGAATCAATCCAGCCGGACTGAATCTTCAGCGTGTGCTTAGGAGAAGGGAGGGGATGGCACAGCCCCAGTCTGTCACCAGCGTCAAGGCGGCAGAGTCAGCCCCGCGGAGGCGGCGGGCATCTGCCTTCCGAGGCCCCTGGCTCCCGCTCCTGTGCCCGGTGGTGCGGGAGCAGGTGGTGGTGTCACCGCCGTGTGCAAGGGATGTGGCTGTCACCGGCAGGGCAGGCTAGCACCCCAGGCTCTCCAAGGTGACCTTCACACTTCGTGCTCCTGAATACCGTTCTCTGCGGCAGCGCTGGCCGGGGCCGTCTCCGTCTCCGACCTGGGCTCCGGGGACTGGGGACCAGATGGCTGGGGCTCAGGCTGGGGCTTGGCTCCAGCCCCGGCCTCGCTCTGGAAGGTGCTCAGGAAAACCTTGGGAGCCGTCCTGGCGGCGGGGGAGGAGGAGGAGCTGCGGCGGGAGGCCAGGCGGAGCAGCGGGCGGCGGGAGCGGGCGCTGTCCCCCGGGGAGGCCGAGGCCGAGGCGGAGGCGGCCAGGCCCCGCAGGCGCCGCTCCTGGTTGGCGTGCAGCAGCGTCAGGCGGCAGCGCAGCACCTGCCAGAAGACGGCGCGGAACTGGCGCGAGGACACGTTGTAGAGCAGCGGGTTGATGACGGAGCTCAGGTAGAAGAAGGTGTCCGAGAAGGGCAGCAGGGTCATGTACGCCTGGAAGTAGGCGCGCGTCCAGTCGTGCTTGGGCCGGGACGCGGCCATGATTCTCCGGATCTGGTTGGGCATCCAGCAGATGGCCAAGGTCAACACGATCAGCCCTGAGCAGGCGGGTGGTGGTGGGGGGAGAGAGAAAAGAAACAAAACACACAGCATGAGAACAGCAAAACCACCAATTTTTGCCCCTCCCTTCTGTGCTCACTGGCCAAAAAACGGGTACCCCGTTTTTCAATGTTGTGTTTGACAGCTTCCGCAAAAAATGTCCCCTCCTCTCACTGCTGGGGGAGTTGACTGTGTTCAAGACCATTAAATGCTTTAGACAGTTTATTGGTGCCTGTGAATGCCTGTTCATTTAAAAATGGTTTGTGTGTCCAGAAAGCATTTTATGCAGTCCATTAACCTAGTTATGTCTTTTTTTTTTAATTGATGTATACAGCATGGCCACGTCTGATGAAATATTTGCATTTTAAAAAAGACCCAATGGCACCTCCCAGACCAATGGAAATGGTAAACCAAGAAGCCTATTTTAGTGACACTGATCTCACATTCAGGTTTTAGGGAAGCGAAGTCAGGACGAGCCTGTCACTGAGAATTTTTTACAGACATTTATGAGGTTTGCACACCTGTAATTATAATGCTCAGATCTGCAACAGCGATTGCTTCTTTTTAAATGTTTTTTAAAAGGACAATTATCCAAACACAATGGAAACTAGAAAAACTTCCTACACATTCCGCCAGTAGGTGCTCATTGCCGTGTGGCACTGAGCAGAAGCTGACGGCCTGGACATAGGTCTGGCTGCCCACATGTCTGCCTTCCAACTTACACAGTCATCACTATTTCTGTGGCCTCTGACAGAGAAAGATTCAGTTAGGCCACAGTCAACTGATATCACAGCATTCATGGTATTCATGAGCATTTATTCTACAGTGCCCCCCCCCCAAAAAAAAAAAAAAAAAAAACAAGAGATGTCAGATCAGAAAGCAGCAGCAGGGTGAGGTGGGAGGGTGGGCAAGGGCCCAGAAGGTAAGTGAGCAGAGCTGATATGCTAAAGCTGTGTTTCCGATCTCCAGAAATGCTTCATCCCGCTCCTAAATTTGAATAATATAATAAGGGAAATTTACATTTTACAAACCTTCCAATTTTCTAGGAAACCACAGAAAGGTGATTATTGGCCATGGTCCCTTCCTGCCTCTGATAGACGGTAAATATTTCACTAATTAATGCTCCAGGGAAAACGCCATGTTTACCCATCCAGGGCGGGCCCTCCTGCAGGCTCTCGCCTGAGCATCCCTTACCTGGTGGCAGACTGGCTGTAGGTGTATTCTCTGGCACTGAAATAACCCAGTCCCCCCGCCCCCGCCCCACAACAAACCCTCCATGAATGGCAGCTGTTAGCAAAAAGAGCTGTAGGAACTCTGCTTCCTGTTAATTTTCAAGGGTTTCTCCAGTCAAATCTCAGCCCAAGCTTGAAATACAACACAATTTGCTTATTTCCTTACTTTGAATTTGCTACCTTGAAAACACTCAGTAAATCTAAAAATAAAGCAGGCAAAGTCATATAGCGATATGATAAAAAGGCAAAAGAGATCATTTTAAGTCAAGGGTGTATTCTGAATCACCTACTTACAGCAGCTGGATGGGAACACAAATCAACATTTTTCTGATAAAAAAAAAACAACTTTGGGAGGAAATTGGGGGTATTTTTACACAGTTTTCTGAATCACGGGCATATGGTCATTTCCAGCTCCCTGTGCTTGTCATTCCATCTGTGCTCTTCAGTCATTTCTCCTTGTTTTGATCTCACGCAGCTCTGACTGAAAGGATCACCTCATTAACTGCTCAGGAGCTAGGCCTCAGCACACCTAGGGAAGTTATGTCTTCCCTGCCGCTGACTTTCTGAGAACAAGTACAGCTATCTTCATCTGATGGGACTGGAGCACAAGGTTAGATCAATGCTGTGCTACACACGGTAGGAGGCAGTAAGAATCTGAGAACTGCCTTGTACTTTTCACAGCTTGAACATAGCGCAGTTTTAAAGCCAGCGGAAGAAAGTGAGGAAGAAGGCATGCTGTGGGTGGGTGGGGAGAAGGCATCCAAGTGTTCTCTTCTGCTCTCCCTGCTCCTGTCCCATTCATCTCTTATTTGCATGACCCTAATCTGTTACTTTCCTACCTTTGCCTGGCACCAAATGCATTGATTGATTTTCCCATCGAATGAAGCAGAGGTAGAAAAAACAAGACCTCAGCACCCGGTATGAGGCAGGGAGTAGGGGTTAACAAAGAGTTGTGGCCTGGTTTATAGTTGTAGCCAAGAGAGAGAACTCTGGTTTTGAAATCGAAATGAGCTGAAATAGGTGAGAAATACCTTAGTCTGAAAAAGTAGCAGAACATAGGGGGTCAGGCCCAAGGTGCTTCAGTGAGGAGGAAAAGAAGGGAAATCTCGGCTTCCTGGCTGTGGAAGTCAGTAGATGTGACACCAAATGAACAACAAGAACCAAGGAGCTGAGTTAGACATGGACCCGGATTCAAGATTAGGCATCCAACAGGTCTTGAGCTATAACCAAGAATAATGCCAATTTCAGTGAGTTTTCCCTGTGTCAGGTTCTGCACTAAGCATCCTCTGCTAATTTCCTATGCATGCCTCACTTCTGATAACAGCCTGGTAAGGTGAAATATGTTATCTTCACCTTACAGATGCGGGTGAGTCTCAGACAAGGTTACCTGCCCGTGTGCTATATAAACTAGGACACATGCTTGCCGAACTTCAAAATCCAAGATAAGTACTTTTTCCTCAAGGACATAATATTGTCTGTTTCTCATATTTCCAGTTTGAAAAATATAGTCAACACGGGGAAGTAGGCATGAGCCCTAATTCTACCATGCAAAGTGGATATATAGCGGCACTGTCCACCGGAAATATAATGTAACCTACATGCGATTTTAAAATTCCAAGTAGCCACATTAAAAACCAAAAAGAGACAGGGGAAATCAATCTCATAACAGCCTCTGTAACCCAATACAGCCCAAATATTTTCATTCCATGTGTACTTTCAATGTGTATTCAAGCTAATGTTATATATGAGATGTTTTATTTTTTTTTTCCTCCATACTAAGTCTTTGAGAGCTAGTGTGGCTCTATGCTTATAGCATATTTTATTTAGGACCAGCAAGAGGTGGCTGGTGGCTACAGCATGGCTTAAATAGCCTTTGTAGCACGCCCCCTTCCCCCCCCCCCCCCCCCCCCCCGCCCCAAATAGCAGGGCTCCCTATTTCCTTCTATTCCCATTTCCATACCTGCTCCCTTCCAGGTCACATTCCCAGACAGTCCTGTCACACCAAGGACACCCCTGGCCTGAATTTATCATCCTCGGGTCTGACCATGCAACCCAGGTTGATCCTCAGCCCATGGTATAGTCACATTTTATCCATCCTTTCACATAAAGTGTTGCATATAAGGGGCTACAACTTACCTAAAGCCTAGAGAATGATGAAAGCACTCTGTTTTGCATTGCTCTTTCTAAACCTGGCCTACTCACTCTGAAGCAGGTTGTGCCAAATCCCTGGCGAGGTTGTTGGGATACACTTTACCTCATGAGGGGTGGGGAAAGTGTGGTGTCTTTCCCCCTGTGAGAGAGAATTCTGATCTGGGAAAATGGAGCTTTGGGCTTATGGGTACAGCCAACAACAGATGAGAGGTGTGTGCCGTGGCGATGTCACAGAGGTTAGCCTCCACTGGGGCAAGGGGACCAAGCCAGCATCCTTGTAAAGTTTGTCATTTTATAAGGCCGGGTGATTGCTCACTTTTACATTTGAAAAAAGTTCATTATTTCACATGACACATCGTTGAGAATAAACATCACACCCAAAGGTGGCTTTATTATGGCTGTTTGCAACCGGGTCAGCTCCAGTCCCAGCTACTCTGAGGCGGAGACAAAGCTTTAAAGTGTTAGTCACGCCTTAATAGAGCATATTAAAGATTTGACTAACTTTACATTTGGCTCCAATCAATTTGGACGTGCATATTACACTTGGAAAAATCTATAATGCTTTGCTCTGTGTGATGTAGCGTGCAGCCCGCAGTTAAATAACTTGAGTGTGAACTTGAATGGAGATCAGTGGACTGAACCCAGTAATGGAAAGTAGGTAAACAGTTTTAACTGAATTATGGATAGATCTGCATTGTACTCCAGACCGTCTTGTGCTCTGGCTTAAGCAGATTTTATCTTCCCTCCCTCCCCCCCCCCACACACATTAGATACGCCCAGTTTTCCTCTCTGATCACTACACGAAAATAACAAGGGCCATTAGGCGGTGACACAGGCTTGCTCTCTGCAGAGTGAAGATGTTTAAGAGACAGAAGGATGCCCACGTGCAGCAGCATCCCGCACTGAGCCTGGCATTTCCGCAGCATCCAGCTCGGATTAGTCTGCAGAAGGGCACTAAGCCACCCCAGAGCCTGCCTGCCTTCATACACCTGACCAGGCTCCACTTGATCCCTTCTAACCTTTAAAGTGGAGGCAGCTATTTGTCCCCAGAACTCCTCTCAGAGTCACCGGAGAGCTGGAGACAGGAGAGAGACCCGCCGCAGAACCCCACAGATGCCGGGACCCAGGCAAAGTGATTCACTCAGGATCTCAGGCGAAGGAGAGGGGATGAGGGGTGAGGGTGCGGGGCAGGACGCCTTTGATCTTGCCATACTGCTCAGAACACTGAATTCTACCTTAAATTGACAATCAAGCCCATTGCTTTTAAATCCAGTGTTGTTTTTCAGTTCTAGGCCCAAGTGCTGACATGCATAGCATGGAATGCCATGAGAGGCAGGGCCCTCTCAGACCACAGGGAAAGTAGGCACATCTCAATATTCTGTCTGGATTCAGTCTTAGAACCCAGTCTCTTGAGAATGGGCACAGACAAAGCTCAGGAGCACAAGTACCCTCCTCCTCCCAAACACATACAGACCCTTTAAAAAAAATTGATTTCAAAGAGGAAGGGAGATGGAGAGAGAGGGGGGAACATCAACAATGAGAGAGAATCACTGATCGGCTGCCTCCTGCACACCTCCTACTGGGAATAAAACCATGACCTCATGTTCCATAGGTTG